TTTACTTATTCGCCGCACATTTAATCATTTAGTTTTTTTTTATTTCGTCTTTATCTCGTTAACAAGAAAGTTGCCTCAAAGCATGGGCCTTCCTCTGTTTTTTTTTTTTTTCGTTTGCCTTGCTGTTGTTGATCGTAAACTTATTTCACTGTTTTCAGTTCTCCTGTACAGTACTTTTATGTCGCTTAAATCTCTTGGATCCTTTAATCTGTAGCCTGCCCAGTCTGCGGCGCCCCATTTATTCTAGACTACGAGTAGTCCCCCATTTTTTCTCAGGGATAGTAGAGCGAGCGACACGCGAGCGCGCGTGAAAATCACCCCACGCGAGAAAAGGCCACATTTTTCTCCCTCCCCGTCGCGTGTCGCCTTTTCTCGCGTGGGGTGATTTTCACGCGCGCTTGCGTTTCGCTCGCTCTACTATCCCTGAGGAAAAGTGGGGGACTACTCGTAGTCTACATTTATTCTGCCTCTTCTTTTACCTTGGTTTTAATAACTTCTATACGCAGCACGCAGAGCTGATGGAAGCCCGCCGTGATCTCTTGAAATGTCAAAGAACTGAACAAGAGCTAATCCGGGAACTTGACGATGCACATGCGCTGTTATCCACAAAGGAAGCAGACTGCACGAGGCTTGCAAAGGAGCTTGGGGCTGCGCAAGTACGGGAAGCTCAAGCTGAGGCAAAATGCGTGCATGAAGTAAGAAAGGCTCAGCAACAACATGAGCTCAAACAGGCCACCCAGGAACATGAGGTAAGCGAGCTCCGACTACTAGGTACGTCGTAAAGTATTAGACAGGGAACGTTCTCCGAAAGCCGTTCGGTGATCGACGAAAATTGCCGTCTCGTCGACACAGTAGCGTCGGGTGCTAACAGAATTATTTTTTTTTTTTTTTTAAGTGGGATAATAAACCCGTCGTATTTCATTTCGTTAAGCTTCTCATCTAATTCGTTTGATAAAAACTATTTAACTACTGTAACAACAAATGTTATAAAATAAAGCAAATGTCTGTGTTGTGAATAAAGGTTCCATCTTCATGGATATTAATCTGAGAGTAGATTTATTCAAAGCTACAGTAAACTCTCATTCTCTGTCAATCTCAAAGTCGTAGATATCACTTTAAATGAGGTCCTTGTTCATTTCTCTCAGGTCCAACGGTTACAAGAAGATCATGTTAAAGTGTTGGCACAAAAAGACGAAAGCGATGCAAATCATCGCTTGGAGATCACGCGGCTACAAGAGCAGGAAAGACGCTTAGGACAAGACTTTGCGCGTGCGCAGGAGCAAAATAAGACCTTAATAGAGGACAACAGAAGCTTGGCCTCTGAACTAGTCATGTACCAAGAGGACGCTAAAGCGATGAGTGAGACGCTTGTGATCAAAGACGCAGAGGTATCCCATTAGTACGTAGAGTGCCTAACTCACATACCTTGCCCTGCCTCGCAGACCAGTTCACTTAAGTACATTTTATTATACTTTTTTCTCAGCCTAAAGGGAAGCTCCGTGCATGTGTACATCCACAGTAGATATGAACAGGGAAAAAAAGACAAAAAGTTAAATGTTATTACCTAATTATTACCATTTACTGGGTTGTATACTATTGTTGTTTGTCATATTCCTGCGCGATGGTCTACAATGTAGGGCAAGGGCATTCCCACCAAAAAAGCGGTCAGTGGAAGCGTGATAATTCGAATACTAGGCAGATTTAACAAAGAGACTGCAACATCAAATGAGAACACGAAAGCGCGCGGGAAAGACTGAACGCGACTTCCGGTGTCCAATTTATCGTTCTGCTATTGGCCATGTTTTGGTTCTTCTCGCGACTTCGTCACGTTGTCATCACGTCTTGCAAGTGCGTAGTGCGCATGAGCAGGAACTGGAAGAAAAACGACTGGGGGTGAGTTGTAAGGTCTTAAGTGGATACGCTGCCTAGCATATCGGGTTCAACATATTAATAATCAGTTTATTAAACCCTTTTGATAGTGTATAACACTAAATTACAAGGGAGGTCAAGAATACGCAGAACACATAATTACACATGGCACAGAAGGCAAAAACAATTAAATCCTATTGTAGCTGTGGGTAACAAATTTACTAAGGCGGTCCGTTCTGACAAAGCGGAATTCAGAACGAGAAAAACCCGACCTCAACCCGTACCCATGAGCGACATTCGTGGGCTGCGGCAGCAGGTGTGAAAGAAACCCGGACTCCTTGATGTTAGATATAAAACGCCTGCAAGCCTCATCACGGCGCGACAACAGTGTAGGCAAGCCACAGCGCACGAGTGCCTACTCATAAGAGCAATCTGGAAAAATTATTCTTAGTGCAGACTTCTGCACGCTTTCCACCAACTGAACCAGACAGTTGGGTATTGAGGGAGTTTTAGAACTGTACTTAAAATGCTATTACATTTTTAAAACACCTTCACTTCCATAGGAAGAAATAGGTACCACCTTTCATACTTGGAGGAATGAGTTTCTTACCTGTTTAACTGACAGACGTGCCACCATCACTAGTTCCGATGAATTAGGATCTTACTTTTTTACGATTTTGACAATCGTAGCCTTCCAGGTTAATATATTTGGCTTCGTTTTCGTCGTGTTCATTGTTGTCCACTTGCATAAGCGTTATGATAGAAGGGCGCGCATCTTCTTGCAAATCCACGTGTTTGGCTTTACAAAACTCCATGCTTAACTTGTTTTTGTTTTGGTTGGAAATAGAAAGCAACATCTGTCCTTTCTTATTTTTGTTCGTTTATTTCCTTGCTTACTTTCAGATATCCAAGTTGGAAAAAGCATTACAACAGACTTTAACTGACTTACATACGAAAAACGAAGAGATTGTTCATCTAGAAGGCATCGTGGCGGACCAACAAAATGCCCTTAAAAAAGAACAAGAAAGGATGCGTGATTTGGAGGAAACGCGCACTCACCTTCAGCAACAAGTTGCCCTTCTAGAAGAAGAAATCAACCGTGAACGAAACACATCACAAGTAGAGTCCAGTGATCTGCAGCAAAGACTNCCATGCTTAACTTGTTTTTGTTTTGGTTGGAAATAGAAAGCAACATCTGTCCTTTCTTATTTTTGTTCGTTTATTTCCTTGCTTACTTTCAGATATCCAAGTTGGAAAAAGCATTACAACAGACTTTAACTGACTTACATACGAAAAACGAAGAGATTGTTCATCTAGAAGGCATCGTGGCGGACCAACAAAATGCCCTTAAAAAAGAACAAGAAAGGATGCGTGATTTGGAGGAAACGCGCACTCACCTTCAGCAACAAGTTGCCCTTCTAGAAGAAGAAATCAACCGTGAACGAAACACATCACAAGTAGAGTCCAGTGATCTGCAGCAAAGACTGCAGGACGCCAAAGACGATATTGACGAAAGAACGCGGCAAATTAACGAACTTAACTCAACCCTCAGAGAGGTCCACAAGGACATGAAACAAAGTTCAGCGAGCATTGTTGAATTAGAGCAGCTTCTACAACAGTCTCGGTCCCAGTGCGACAAGAAAACTGCGCAAGCGCAGACTCTTGACCAGGCCCTCAAGGAAACGCAGCAACAGTTGTCTGCGATGACAAAGAAAAACGGGGAACTGGAGGAGAGGTTACGACAGATGGAGAACGAATTTGCAGAAACAACGGAACAGAATGAGCAGCTCGATACCGAGGTATTGATGTTGCCGCTTCTTTTTGAAAATTTTCACAATTTAGTGCCGTGGGTAGAGTCCCCCAAGTCCTCCAGTGGGAGCTGGGAGCATTGCTTGGATCCGGCCCGAGCGGCTCCGAAGTAGATATTTCGCGAAGTTTTCCAAAAGGAATGGCGGTAGCCTGAGTATCAGGCCTTCCTAAGGGGCTAGGGGAGAGGAGATGTCGCTTCCATCTTTCCCCTTTTCCCCCAGAAACGCCTGATACTCAGGCTAGAATGGCATGAATCATTTGATTTTCCAACCGGAATTTCCGGTTTTCCCAAGTAAATGGTATTTACCCCTTTTTACCCCAGATGTCCCAGGTTTCAATTGCACCGTTCTCACTCGCCTTTATTTACTTCTCGGTAGTCCTGAGTGCGGATTATCAACCAAACATGTACTAGAAATAACCAACTGGTTTTCTTGCTTAAGTGCGTCACAGAGGATCGAGGGGATCCCCCACCCCCACTCCTTCTCCTTTCATAGTTGTCATTGTAAGTTTAGAATACAAAGGAATTCTTGCAACTTTGATAACGGAAGAAGGACAGGAATCGTCCGAAGTCTCCCAGACACCGTTTTAGGCGTAAAAACTTACATTGTCTCAAACATTTTAGCAACTAGTTGTAGTGGTAATTTTAAACTTGTTTTTCCTTAACGATGACTCGTCACTACCTTGATCTGGATAGTTCTTCTGATTGGCTTAAAATTTGCTTTAACCAATCGGAAGCCCTACCCACGTCTGGGTAGTGACACGTCATCAGTATGGAATTTCTTGCGTTCTTTTCTTAGGCGTCTATTTGCGGGAAAACTTTTGATAGCGTCGCGAAATGTCGGCTTTTTTCTCGGGCTATCTGAAATCTAATATTGTCGTTTAGGTGAATAAAATCCAGACGGAATTACAAGATACCATCACGCAGCTAAAATCTCTCCAAGATGTACTACAGACGAGCCAGAAAGAGGTACAGGAGAAAGAAAAGAAAGTCGAGGAACTCGATAAAATGTTGAACGAAAGTATGGAGGAACTGCAGCAGAAGGATAAAAACTTAAAGGAGAAGGAAAGCAAAGTTGTTGAGCTTGACAAAGCTCTTAAAGAAAGACAGTGGGAATTAAAACAAAAGGCTGCACAGGTAAGGAGGAACTGGGACAAGCCGAGGTATAACTAACGTAATTAAGGATGACCAGTTTGCGCCACTCGTGTTAGGGTTAACATCACGGCTTAACCGACAGAATCGTTTGACTCTTCAGCTGACTATGGGTAGTAACGTGTAGTGGTTATGAAGCCCTAAAGACTTTTTAATATGATTTAAGTTATCTTTTGTGGCCATGTACAAGTTTCAGTAGCATTCTAACCATGTGGGACAAAAAAACCAACAGACCTGTTTCCGTGAAGTTATTCCATGACATGTATGAACTAAAAAACAAAGAAATATGCATGGCCTAGCGGAGATCTGCTAATACAAACTGCAGCACTTTTTTTCGCCGTTGATTTTTTGTTTGCTTTTATAGCAAATCTTCTCTACTAACTATGAGCCGATGATACAAAACTTACCTTGACGCTGATTATGACTTGCGCACACGCTGTTGAAACGTCAGTCATTGTGTGACCAGCATTCCTAGTCTGTACTTGACTGACCTGGACGATCACATTCAACCTACTTGGGACTTGACTGTTTGATTCAAACCCTCTATAAAGGCAGTGTTATGACCCTGAATATTCTCGTTTTCGATATTAGTTTTGTTTATATACCGGTTGTATTAGGTTAGTGAAAAAGTGTAGTTATATAGTAGAAATTCAAATTGACGAATTCAAATGCTTTAAATTTAATCGCGTTTGTTCTCTTTGCCTTGAATAATTTTGCATTTGTGATTTGACGTGAGTACATGTAAATGACGAAATCCTGCAATCACTTCAGTCAGAGAATTGATGCCGTCTAAGTTTTCTTTTCCAAAGACCATATTTCCGTACTTAAAATTGAGGGATAGGACTAATACTGAATCCTGGAGTTGAAAAATCATTGTCTTTTAACCACTGGGGACCCACAAAAACTGAGTGACGGTTGTGGTGTTGAATTTAAAGGAAATGTATGGGAATGTAATAAGGATTTTTATTAAATTCTTGTTTGACGTTTCGTATCTTTTTTGCCAGGTTACCCAGCTGGACATGACCATGAAGGAACATAAGAGTGAATTGCAGCAAAAGGTCATCACATTAGAGCGTGCGCTTAACCAGGCTCGCTATGAACTCAGCGAGAGAGCGGGGGAGGTGAGAAATTCTAGAGCCTTTTTCTCTGTGTTTGTTGTTGTTGTTGTTTGTGTGTGATTTGCTTGCAGAAGTCAGACTATGAGGAAAAGATATTTTACGGAAAGGAACAGGAAGGCGTTCAGCAACAAACAAAACACTTGTTGCCAAGTGTAAAGGAATTCAACCGTCTTAGATTCTGGATTTCACGCCGTGGATTCCAGATTCCAGATGCTGAGCCTGGTTCCTGAAAGGCTGATTAGCGCTAATCCAGGATTAAAATTTCGTTCCACTTTTTATATTTACTTGCCTTAACATGGCTTGCCGGAGGAACATTTTATGTTATAATTACTGTATCTCAGAGTTAAGGCTCAACAGTATTTTGTAAGTTTGATGAGTTGTATGTTCTTAGACAGGAAAACCGGGCTTAAAATGTGGCTAAATCTTGGGTTAAACTTAACCATCTTTCGAGGAACCGGGCCCGGATTCTGGATTCTTGACAGTAGAACTTGGAATCCAGATTCGATTACATGGGACGACACTCAGACGGGTGATGAGGCCTTGGTATCGGCCCATCAGTTTCTGCCGCTCTCTTGAGGTCTGTCTTTGTTCCTCCCAGAGAAGAAACTTTTCTACTTATCACTCTAATTCTTTCAGCAAAGCTACTTTCTTAGACGTTGGTTATTTTTTTTTTCTTAAGATCTCTGAAATAAAAGCCAAGCGAGATCAGAATCAAGAGCAGGAGAAGCAAAAGAAATCCAGAATTGAGCATTTGGAGAAAACGGTGAAGCACCAACAACAAGAACTGAAGAAGAGAACTTCGCAAGTGTCCGAGCTAGAAAGAGTAAGCAAGCCATTGAAAACGAGTTGTTTATTGTTGTTGTTTTGTTTCCTATTTTAATCATCCTTGTAAAGTAGGTGTCGCAAACACAGTGAATGACAACAGAAACTCATAAGGGTTTGAACCGTGTAACTCGCGTTCAATGCTTGTGAATATTCATTTTTTTTTAAGTACTGTATTTGGAAACTCTCGCTGTGGCCTCAAAAAAGCCATAAGTTTAAAACAACTTTGCACGTGCAATACGCCTCGTACATTTCTTTGTCGTCATTGCACGACTACGACATGAAAGTGCCCTTTTGTGGATAGTGAAAACACAATACAGCGACTTTCTTTTTCTTTTCCTGAGCTACGATACAGTCTTTAGACGAACTGAACGTGATGGAAAAAGCGAGAACGTGGAGTAAAATTTAACGTCACGTCATTTACGAAGTTTGATTGGTCAGTTATCTCTCGTTTTACAATGAAAACGAAATTCACGAGCATCGGCAAAGCAAACATATGAGATTTACACGTTTCAGCCCCTTATGAGTTTTTTATGACAAGTTCTAACTGTTTTTGTTAATTCACAAAGTTAGTGCCTTTCTTGTTTACTCCGTCACCATTCTTTTTCTTATGTTTAAAATTGATAGACAGCTTACAACTCTAAATGTCTGACTGAGGAACAAAACTGAACCATTACTGCATGTTTGCCCCGTGAGGAGGGAAGACGAGGGGACCAAGTCCGCTTGCGCTTCTTGCCATCTCTTCGCCCTATTCCCGCTCATTTAGTCTCCTACACGGCCGTTTTCAGTGTCGTCAGGAGCGTTGCGTGACGACACTAAAAACGTCTGTCTAGCAGACTGCCGCTCACTAGACTAGAGAAAATTATCAACAAGCAAAATAAATTTAACATGCTGTTCCCTTTCGTCCTGGTTGTCAGGAGATCAACAAGTTGCTGAGGAGGCGTGAAGAGTCTGAGGAGACCAGTCAGGAGTTACGTTTGGCGCGTGAACAGCTTCAAAATACGGTAAACTTTTATGCATCCTCAGATAGGTATTCGCCGCACATTTAGTCAGTTAGTTTCGAACTTTACGTTTTACATCTCGTTAAGAATTAGAAAGTTGACATGCTCGAAGGCGTTCCTCTGCCATTTTTTGCTCATTTGCCTCTTGTTTAACCTTGGTTTTAATAACTTGTATACCCAGCACGCGGAGCTAATGGAAGCCCGCCGTGATCTCTTGAAATGTCAAAGAACTGAACAAGAACTAATCCGGGAACTTGACGATGCACATGCGCTATTATCCACAAAGGAAGCAGACTGCACGAGGCTTGCAAAGGAGCTTGGGGCTGCGCAAGTACGAGAGGCTCAAGCTGAGGCGAAATGCGTGCATGAAGTAAGAAAGGCTCAGCAACAACATGAGCTCAAACAGGCCACCCAGGAACATGAGGTAAGCGAGCTTCGACTATTGCCGTCTCGCCGACACAGTAGCGTCGGCTACTAACAGAATTATATATATATATAATATATTTATTTTTGTGTTTTTTTGTTGTTGTTGTTGTTGTTGTTTTGAAGTGGAATAATAAACCCGTCGTATTCGTTATGTTAAGCTTCTCATCTCATTCGTTTGATAAAAACTATTTAACTACTGTAACAAGAAATGTTATGAAATATTTGCAAATGTCTGTGTGGTGAATAAAGGTTCCATCTTCATGGATATTAATCTGAAAGTACCTATATTCGAAGCTACGGCAAACTCTCATTCGTTGTCAGTCTCAGAGACGCGGATATCACTTTAAATGAGGTCGTTGTTCATTTTTCTCAGGTCCAACGGTTACAAGAAGATCACGTTAAAGTTTTGGCACAAAAAGACGAAAGCGATGCAAATCATCGCTTGGAGATCACGCGGCTACAAGAGCAGGAAAGACGCTTAGGACAAGACTTTGCGCGTGCGCAGGAGCAAAATAAGACCTTGATAGAGGACAACAGAAGCTTGGCCTCTGAACTAGTCATGTACCAAGAGGACGCCAAAGCGATGAGTGAGACGCTTGTGATCAAAGACGCAGAGGTATCGCCATTAGTACGTAGAGTGCTCAACTCGCATACCTTGCCCTTTCACAGATCAGTTTATTTACGATACATTTTATAAAACTTTTTTCTCAGCGTAAAGGGAAGCTCCGTGCATGTGTACATCCACAGTAGATATGAACAGGGAAAAAAGACAAAAAGCTAAATGTTATTACCTAATTAGTACCATTTACTGGGCTGTATACTATTGTTGTTTGTCATATTCCTGCGCGATGGTCTACAATGTAGGGCAAGGGCATTCCCACCAAAAGAGCGGTCAGTGGAAGCGTGATAATTCGAATACTAGGCAGATTTAACAAAGACACTGCAACATCAAATGAGAACACGAAAGCGCGCGGGAAAGACTGAACGCGACTTCCGGTGTCCAATTTATCGTTCTGCTATTGGCCATGTTTTGGTTCTTCTCGCGACTTCGTCACGTTGTCATCACGTCTGCCTACTACGTAGGCATGGCAGTTGTACGCCCCAGGGGCTCCTGTTCTGGGAGAGGCAGTGTAATGGGCGTTTTGTTCAACTTATGTCCATATGGCCATTTATTACTTTAGATTGCTCGTCTGGAGGCTAAGGTGTCTGGCTACGAAAGAGCAACATTTGGTACAGCAAGCCGTGTTACTACTCCGAGGGGGGCACGTCCAGCAACACATATCCGACGGGTAACCTCACCGAGAACTGTCACCAAAACGTCTGCCAGCGGCATGAAGAAAAGCAGTTCAGATCAGAACCTTCATAATTTGACTAGTAATGGCCCGCTTGTTTCCTTCAGTCATGCTAGTACTCATGACATGACTGAGAGCCACTCGTATCCTCCAATGCCCTCTATACTTGTAAGCCAGGATCATGAACACTCAGTACACAGTCACAGTTCATATGCGTGCCCTCAAGACCGAACTAGAAGCGTTCAGACCAGCCTAGAAACTCTGGAGGGACTCTTGAAGCAGGCCAACATGGAGATGGCGCGGGATAGTTTACCCATGCTTCTAAACTCCTCTACATCGCAAGCTGGTGATGTCACACTTTCTGCCGCTGACCTCAACAGCACGCAGCCGTCACCACCCCAAAAGGAAGAGCGCGAGAAGGTGCCAGAAATCATGAATGGTGGCGTTGCGGAAAAGGACGAGTCGGTCAGTGGTTTATATGAGAACCTTCATGAACGACTTGAGAAGAAGAAAGCTTCTCTAGGAATGTCACGGGAGAAAGTGGTAGATGCTGATTCGTTAGATCCTGACAAATGGTAAGTTCAAGAGCCTTGTAAGTTGTGGTTTTAGATGCGTTTTGGGGTGGTAATTTACCAATTTCCCTAGAAAGGTGAGCGCAAAGCGTTTAGCAACCTCTCCACTCTGCTTCAAGTTCTATTTATTTTACCGTCATTTAATCCTCTGTTAAGGGTAGGCTTATCATGATTTAATTTAATACCAGAAGACGGTATCATTCTTCATAAAGAACTAGAGCACTAAGTGGAAAAGCTTGAGCAGATGAAGTTGGAAGTCATTCAGCCAAAGATCAAAAACAAATCCGAATAGTTCCAGCACGTGAATAAATCATACCGGATCAGTCCACGTGAAGTGCTACAGTCGTTATTAATTAAGCCAGTTTATGATTTGATAATTTGGTTTTGGAGAATATGGGTGGAGGCGAGAGGGGGGGAGCTTAAAAGAGAGGTGTGCTAAATAACTTTCTTCCCGCAAAAAGGGACTTAAAAGGGGATCTAATAGTTGGTTTTTAGCTTACTAGGCTTTGAAACACTTTTGCTCTTGTCATAGACGTTTCTCCGCTCGAGTTCTTTCTCTTCAGATTCAGAAACGTGTAGGAGCGTGCACCCCCTTCTTAGGTCCCTCGGCCTTGTCTCAAAAGGTTTTTACTCGAATGGTAATAACTTGTTTTATACACAAATAATTATTGTTAAACTCATCGCTAATGATGAGCTTGGGAACTGGTGCCTTAAAGGTTAGTGGGGGGCCAAATGCAATAAGCAGAGAGGAGGTATCCATGGCAACCCTGGAAGCGGGAACCGCCCCAGGAGCAGCCACTAACCGGCACCGTCACACTGAATAAATTCAGTGGAGATACTTACCTAAGAGAATACTTACCTGAGAAAATACTTACCAAACCACCAGGCAGGGAGGGAGGAGAGGGAGCAAGAATTGCGCTTCTTGCCATCTCTTCGCCCTATTCCCGCTCATTTAGTCTCCTACACGGCCGTTTTCAGTGTCGTCAGGAGCGTTGCGTGACGACACTAAAAACGTCTGTCTAGCAGACTGCCGCTCACTAGACTAGAGAAAATTATCAACAAGCAAAATAAATTTAACATGCTGTTCCCTTTCGTCCTGGTTGTCAGGAGATCAACAAGTTGCTGAGGAGGCGTGAAGAGTCTGAGGAGACCAGTCAGGAGTTACGTTTGGCGCGTGAACAGCTTCAAAATACGGTAAACTTTTATGCATCCTCAGATAGGTATTCGCCGCACATTTAGTCAGTTAGTTTCGAACTTTACGTTTTACATCTCGTTAAGAATTAGAAAGTTGACATGCTCGAAGGCGTTCCTCTGCCATTTTTTGCTCATTTGCCTCTTGTTTAACCTTGGTTTTAATAACTTGTATACCCAGCACGCGGAGCTAATGGAAGCCCGCCGTGATCTCTTGAAATGTCAAAGAACTGAACAAGAACTAATCCGGGAACTTGACGATGCACATGCGCTATTATCCACAAAGGAAGCAGACTGCACGAGGCTTGCAAAGGAGCTTGGGGCTGCGCAAGTACGAGAGGCTCAAGCTGAGGCGAAATGCGTGCATGAAGTAAGAAAGGCTCAGCAACAACATGAGCTCAAACAGGCCACCCAGGAACATGAGGTAAGCGAGCTTCGACTATTGCCGTCTCGCCGACACAGTAGCGTCGGCTACTAACAGAATTATATATATATATAATATATTTATTTTTGTGTTTTTTTGTTGTTGTTGTTGTTGTTGTTTTGAAGTGGAATAATAAACCCGTCGTATTCGTTATGTTAAGCTTCTCATCTCATTCGTTTGATAAAAACTATTTAACTACTGTAACAAGAAATGTTATGAAATATTTGCAAATGTCTGTGTGGTGAATAAAGGTTCCATCTTCATGGATATTAATCTGAAAGTACCTATATTCGAAGCTACGGCAAACTCTCATTCGTTGTCAGTCTCAGAGACGCGGATATCACTTTAAATGAGGTCGTTGTTCATTTTTCTCAGGTCCAACGGTTACAAGAAGATCACGTTAAAGTTTTGGCACAAAAAGACGAAAGCGATGCAAATCATCGCTTGGAGATCACGCGGCTACAAGAGCAGGAAAGACGCTTAGGACAAGACTTTGCGCGTGCGCAGGAGCAAAATAAGACCTTGATAGAGGACAACAGAAGCTTGGCCTCTGAACTAGTCATGTACCAAGAGGACGC